CTTTTGAGGCGGAGCTTGCGAAGGTTCAAGCTGAAACCTGAGCTCAGGCCATCGATGACTTCAAGAAGTCTGATGAGTTCAAGACTCTCCTGGGTCAGTATGGGTCTGGCTCGTACTACTATGGTTTGCGGCTAGCTCGGTCGTTCCTTAGGACGAAGCTCCCCGAAGATTTGAAGCCTATAGTGGAGGAGCTAAAGACTGTGAATGAGCTCGCTAAGGACCTCGAGCTATCCTCCTCCGAGGGTGATGGGGACGATGACGATAACGATGACGATGCTGGAACCCCTGACAATGGAAGGGGTAGTGACCACATCGACCTAGACTAGACCTTCCTCGACCCCGAGTTTTGTAATAATTTTTCTTTTGCTGATGTTGTCTGCCCGATCTAGGCTTATGTACTTTGGTTTTTTAATATATGCAAGTTTATTGCCCGAATTGGGCCTCTGTCTTTTATCAGTTCATGCGTTTTATTATTCAGATCATGTGTTGATCTTGTATTGTAATTTTGAATTCGAGTTTACATTATAGTTTAGAGTTCGGTTGTTAGGGAATGTGTCCTAGTCTTTAAACTTATAGCCCGTGCGCGTAGAGTATTTCAGGTGTCTTTTTTTTTTGAGTTTAGTGATGTACCTTTGGGAGAAATTAGATCGCGTACTAGTGTTGAACTCTTGTTCATATCGAGGGTTGACCCTAACATTTAAGTTCGGTGATGTACCATTGGGGGAACTAGATTGTGCACTAGTGTTGAATTCTAATTCATATCAAGGGTAGATCCTAACATCTAAGTTCAGTGGTGTACCATTGGCGGAACTAGATCGTGCACTAGTGTTTAGTTCTTGCTCAAATCAAGGGTTTAGGGTAACATCCAAGTTCGGTAGCGTTGGGGGCAACTATATTAATATTGACCCGACCTCGATCTTAAAATTTATGCATTGCCAAGCATTCTGGGATCTTTTAAGGTCGGGGATAACTGTAGCGTCATATGCATTACCACCCGACCTCGAGCTAAAGATTTATCCGTTTCATGCCATTCTGGGATCGATGAGGTCGGGCTAATACGCTTGACCTACATTAGCTTGAGGTCTTGTGTGGTATTGGTAAACATATCAGCTGCATGCGCGGGGCACGGCCTTACGCCAATTTTAGTAAAGGTATTAGCTGCATGCGCGGGGCACGACCTTACGCTAATTTAGTAAAAGGTTTTTGGCTGCATGCGCGGGGCATGACCTTATGCCAATTTTAGTAAAGGTATTATCTGCATGCGGGAGGCACGGCCTTATGCTAATTTAGTAAAAGGTTTTTGGCTGCATGCGCCGGGCACGCCCTTATGCCAATTTTAGTAAAGGTATTAGCTGCATGCGCGGGGCACGACCTTATGTCAATTTTAGTAAAGGTATTAGCTGCATGCGTGGAGCACGGCCTTATGCTAATTTAATAGGGGATCAATATCATAAAGAAAACTTCTTGTGTTATTTAAAAGGCTCAAAAGCGTTGCATACCCGAGCTTATTTGAGCATAAGCTAAATGGGCATTAGAGCCCGAAAAGTAAAAACGAAATTAAGAAAACATGAAGCGCGCATGCAAGCCCTAAAGGAAAATTAATAGCTATAGCTAATCACTTGTAATATATTTTCAGATTGTTGGCGTTCCATGGCCTTGGGAGTGGGTTCCCTGATGTATCTCTGAGGCTATAAGCTCCCCTTTAAGTTTTCTTATGACCTCGTAGGGTCCTTCCCATGTTGGCCCAAGTTTCCCTGGTTGGTGCCTGGCGGCTTCTGCTTTCCTTAGGACAAGATTGCCGGCTCTAAATCTTCTGTTCTTGACCTTCTTGTTGAAGTGCTTCACCATTCTATTTTGGTAACTTGCAGTCCTAAGGGAAGCTTGCTCCCTTACCTCCTCAAGTAAGTCGAGATGTTCGGTAGTCTGTCTCTTTATTTGTCTCGAGCTTTTTTATTGTGGGGAGGCTAACCTCAATTGGAATGGTAGCCTCAAGTCCAAAAGCTAGCATGAATGGCGTTTCACTAGTTGCTGTCTTGTGTGAAGTCCTATATGCCAACAGTATTGAAGGCAGCATGTCAGGCCAGTCACCTTTGGCGTCCCCTATCCTTGTACGGAGGTCCTGCAATATGATCTGATTAGTTATTTCGGCTAACCCATTACTTTGTGGGTGTGAGACCGAGGTCAGGCGATGATCAATCCCATTGCTGGCGCAGAAGTTCTTGAACTGGGGATTGTCGAATTGTCTTCCATTATCTGTGATGAGGACTTTTGGTATCTCGAATCTGCATATGATGGACTTCCAGATAAATGATCTGAGCTTCGATTCTTAAATTGTTGCTAGAGGTTCAACTTCTACCCACTTTGTAAAATACTCCACTGCCATAGCTACAAATTTTAATTGTCCTCGGGCCAAGGAAAAAGGCCCAAGAATATCAACTCCACATTGCTCAAAGGGAGCTGAGTAGTGAATGGACGTCAGTTCCTCAGCAGGAGTATGTATGATGTTGCCAAACCTTTGGCACTTGTCGCACTTCCAGACGTAATCTGTGGCATCTTTCTTCAGACTTGGCCAGTAGTATCCATCCCTTATCAACTTATGTGCCAGAGCTCGGGCTCCTTGGTGAGTCCCACAAATGCCTTCGTGAATTTCAGTCATTGCCTGAAAGGACTCAGAGGGTCTGAGACACCTTAGATAAGGGAGTGTAAGACTTCTGCGGAACAGGACTCCTTCAATTATGCAATAGCTAGCAGCTCTATACCGAATGCTTCGGGGTGAGCCGAGGGTCTACAGGAATGTTGCCATTACTTATGTAATCAACTATTGGATCCATCCAGGAGGGCTCATGGTCGATGTCCATGATACTTAGTTTCTGGGCTATACTCGGTTCTGCAACCATCTTGATGTGCACGGTTCTATCGAGCCCGTCAACACCCATGAAGACGAGTCTGGATAATGCATCGGCTTTGGCATTTTTGGCTCTGGCTACCTTCAGAATTTCACAACTTACGAACTGCCTCTGGAGGTCATGTACTTTCAAACAATATAAGCTCATTTTTTCATCCTTTCTTTCGAAAGACCCCTCGATTTGCCCGACCACTAGCTGTGAGTCACTGAAAACTTTGACGTGCTCGCACTTAAGATTTTTCGCGAGTTCTAGGGCAATAACAACGGCTTCGTACTCTGCTTCATTATTGGTAGCATGGAACTCAAATATGAAAGCGCATTGTATCTCCGTAATCTTGTCTGGACTTGTGATAATAATGCCGGCCCCCGAGCTCGAGCTATTGGATGCTCCGTCAACAAATATTTTCCATACTCCTGAGGTCGAGTTCGGGCTCCCGGCAAGTGTTTCTGAGGATCTCGGAGTGAGCTCTGCTATGAAGTCGGCCAAAGCTTGGGCCTTGATTGCAGTCCGTGGCTTGAATTCTATGTCAAATTTCCCAAGTTCAATTGCCCATTTTAGCAATCTTCCTGAGATGTCGAGCTTCTGAAGTATATGTCTGAGAGGTTGGTTGGTGAGCACAACAATTGGATGTGACTGGAAGTATGGCCGTAGTTTTCTTGCAGCCACTACTAAAGCAAGGGCAAGCTGTTCCGCAAGTGTGTATCGTGTTTCTGCATCAAGGATCACTTTACTAACATAGTAGATAGGTTGCTAAACTCTTCCTTTTTCCTTTACCAAGACACCGCTTACTGCGTTCTGGGAAACTACCAAGTATAATAGCAGCGTGTCACCGGTTTCGGGTTTAGTAAGGGCTGGAGGTGTTGATAATGTCTGTTTAAGTTCCTGAAAGGCTAAGTTGCATTCCTCGTTCCGGTCGAACCCTTTATTTCCCCTAAGTAGTTTGAAAAAGGGGGAGCACCTGTCAGCTGCCCGGGAAACAAACCTGTTTAGTGCTGTTATACGACCTGTCAACTTCTGAATGTCTCTTTTGCATTTAGGGGCCTCCATATTTATTAGAGCTTGAATTTTATCAGGATTTGCCTCTATTCCTCTGTGCATGATCATAAAACCCAGGAATTTTTCAGAGGCCACCCCAAATGCACATTTTGTCGGGTTGAGCTTCATGCTGTACCTCTGTAACGTAGCAAACACTTCCTCTAGATCAGAAACATGGCTACTCGACTGTTTGATCTTGACCACCATATCATCTACATACGCTTCGACCGTTTTCCCAATTAGCTTGGCGAAGATTTTGTTCACTAACCTTTGATATGTTGCTCTAGCATTCTTCAGACCAAAGGGCATGACCTTGTAGCAGTAGATGGCTGAATCTGCCATGAACGAGGTCTTCTCTTGATCTTCTTCTACCATAAGAATTTTGTGATACCCCGAGAAAGCATCCAAGAAGCTGTACAGCATATGACCTGACGTGCTATCTACAAGATTATCAATTCTGGACAGGGGATAACTGTCTTTGGGGCATGCTTTATTCAGATCTGTAAAGTCAATGCAAACTCGCCACTTTCCATTAGCTTTCTTGAGAAGAACCACATTGGCAAGCCATTCGAGGTATTGTATCTCTCGAATGAACTGTGCATTAAGGAGTTTGGTAATCTCCTCTTTTATGACTTCTCATCTTTCCGGTGCAAACTGCCTCTTCCTTTGCTTCACAGGTCTTGCTTCCGGGTTTACGTTAAGTCTATGTACTGCAACCTCTGGGTCAATTCCAGGCATGTCATCAACATTCCAAGCGAACACATCAATGTTTCGGGAGAGACAGCTTAAAAGTTCAGCCATGATCTCTGCATCTAACCCTCGACCAACTGTCACTTTTCTTTCGAGCTAAATCTCGACCTCTTCCAATCTTTCTACTGGAGCCAACCTTCCGTAATTTTCATGCTCGAGCTCGAGCTCTGTAACTTGCATGACGTCAATTTTTATTTTTCGAACGCTGGTCACATAACACTGTCGGGCCACCGTTTGGTTGCCTCGAACTACCCCGATGCCATTAGGAGTAGGAAATTTCATAGCCAGGTGAAAAGTTGAGACAATAGCTCAAATTTTGTTGAGCATTGGTCTTCCCAATATGGCATTGTAAGCCATCGGCGTACGAATGACTTCAAAGGTAGTGATCTGCGTTACCTGCTTACCTTCGGTTCCCAATGTTAAGGGTAACCTAACGATACCTTCCGGGGTGATGACCCCACCTCCAAACCCTTGCAGGGGTGTTTTCACTGACTTTAGTTGTTTTGACGAGATCCCCATTTGAACAAAAGCTTTGTGAGACAGTACGTTTGCTGCACTTCCGTTATCTACCAGAATTCTCTTGACTTCAAAGTTGGCGATGATGACCGATATGACAAGGGCATCATCACAGGGGAATGCTATGCCTTCCAAGTCATCCATCCCAAAGCTGATGTCCTCTGTACGACCAAGATCTGGTCTTGAGATGATCGGTGGCTGTCTGGCATACTATTTTCGCCCACTACTAGAGTCTCCTCCCGAGGCTGTTCCTCCGACAATGATATTGATATTGCCTGCAGTTGGTTGCTTGTTTCCCCGATCCTCTGGGCCTTTTTCCCCATTCTGGTTATTCCTCGGGCGTTTGTCATTGTTAATGTAAGAGCTCAGAAATCCTCTTCTTATAAGAGCTTCGATTTCCCGCTTTAAGGCCAGACAATCTTCTGTGGTATGGCTGTGATCTCTATGGAAATCACAGTATTTGCTCTCGTCACGAGTATCGGGGGAAGATCGCAATCGGGGAGGCCATTTCAGTTTCCTAAAATCCTTGATTTCCATCAGGATGTTGGACCTCGAAGTGTTCAGGTGGGTAAAAGCCGTTGAAGGTGGATCCTTTCTTGGTTTGACCCTAGGTGTCTCTTGTCTTAAGCTGGACTCATGTGGCCTTTTCTGATCCAACCTCCCTGATAAGGTAACTTCCCTTTTTGGGGACATGGTTTCTTCCATATTGATGTATTTCTCAGCTCGTGTGAGTAGCTCGGTTACGGACTTCGGTGGGGTTTTAGATAAGGATATTTTGAACGCTTCACATTTAATGGCGTAAGTCAGAGCTGAGACTGCAGCTGTGATATGTAGTTCGGGGATCTAAAGCCTTTCTTTGTTGAACCTGGTCATGAAACTGCGCAGTGTTTCGTTGGGTCCTTGACGCATCTGCATGAGCGATGCAGCTATCTTTCTGATTCTTTTGCTGCTCGCAAAGAAAGCGGAGAACTTGTTAGCCAAATCTGAAAAGTAGGTGATGGAGTTCGGTTCCAATGTGGAAAACCAATCTCTAGCCGCATTCGTGAGGGTTTGAGGGAATGCCTTGCACATTACCGCATCTGGTGCAACCTGAAAGTTCATGATATCCGTGTATACATTGAGATGGTTGATGGGGTCGGTTGTCCCATCATACTCCTTTATCCGAGGATACTTGAACCTATCGGGAAGGGGGTACGAGAGGACTTCTGGAGTGAATGGTGTATTGGAGGTGAACCCTGTTGCTGCCCGAGTATTTTGTTGCATACCCGCTGCTATCCCTTCTTGAATAATTCTTGCAAGTTCGGCGGAGTCTATTGTAACGGACCTTGAACCTGATGCAACTTGTGGTACCCTTGAGGTTCCAACCCCACCGTCAACATGGGTTGCATGATGAACTCGAGTCCGGACATCTGCCATAAAGCCACCTTCAAGTGTTGGGGTGTGAGATGGATGCGAATTTCTCTGACTTAGCAGTTAGGTCAATGCAACCACCTGCTGGCGGAGTTCTTCAAAAGCTCCGGCGGAAACAACGGCTTGAGAAGGTGCTGGCATCTCCGACGACTCTTCTTGAGGAATATGGTGTTCCTCAGGAGGTGGAGGGTTATCCGGGACGGATGAGCTTGCTGGAGGAAGACTTGAACGTGTATTGACCATGGCTTTTGGTAGCGAAGTTCCCACAGACGGCGCCAATGATGCTACCAAAAAATATCACCTGAAAATCTCGAGCTTGATGATTGGGATGAAACACGAACTACGCCTTCCAGTACCTGAAACAAAGGCAACGAGGTGTGTGCTCGTCGCCCCTCCGATGCTTAAGTCAGACAGGGAATTTTATGCGTGAGGCTATAAACTGAGGATAATAATGAAGAACATACCTTTGGAATGAGCACATGTTGTGTATTTATAGGTGTTAGTGGTTGAGTCCTAGGAGGACTGATTCTGCCACAATCCTTCTCCTCGTAGGAAAAGGAGTTGGTGTTTCACCTCATGTATTCAAATCACTGTTTGAGTCAAAGAAGGAGTCTAAGAAGGTAGGGATTGTGTTCAAGGTAGGATTAGCGCTTCCATAGGTCACATATGGAAGTTGTCGAGTCAACACATCTATCCCGGCCTCAAATACCTGAGTTGGTTTTGGTGTTTTTAGATGATGATAAGGTCGGGGTTGTAGGATGTGGTCAGGCTCAAGTGGTCGGGGTTTGATACTAACGAGATCTGGAATAATCATACTACTTATAGCAAGAGTAAATAATCCAAACACGAAGCATCAATTCCTAGCACCCAATTAATTCGATCAGCAGCAAAAGCTAATAGTTGGAGCATAAAGTTACAATTGAGTATAAATTAAGCTGTAGTATGTAAGAAGAATTGATAGTTATTTAGTTTCATCCAAACACAAGAAAAGGAATAATATGATTTGGATGCCAGAGCAAGAGCAAAATCTTGAGTTTTTTTAAACAATAATGTAGCAATGATGAAAGAGATATCTCGAGAAAAATATCTATACAAATTCAACCATCTGATAATAAAATCCATTAACTATAAACCTCTTTGAAATAATGTATTCTCAGTATCATCATACAAACAGACAAAACAATCGTGAAAGTAACCAAAATCAAACATATATTTGAATAATCCCATGATTTTTGGACAAAAGCTTGACTTGATAAATTAAGAAACCTTCCCAGGTTCTGCCTGTAATGCCACAAGTTGGTTCAAAAGTACTGGACAAAAGGCCATCTAAAAATCAGTTTAACAATCCGATTCAACCACTACAAAACACATTAGAGTACATCTAAAAACCATATTCTAATATCCTTGTCGTAACTCATCGATTGAAGTAGCTACAACCTCATCAATGTCTAATATCCCTGTTTCAACCTCATCAATGTGTTGTAACTCATCGATCGAAGTAACTGCTGTTTCATATTCTAATATCCTTGTTGGCAATCCTCTTGCATTAGTAGGCATAGACATGAATTGCATTTGAGATTCTCTTGTGCCAACCAATTTACCCTGCTAAAAAGTGGTTAAAAACCGAACTGTAATTATTAATACCAGCCAAATACAATTATTAAATGACACGATGAAATGCAACTAGACTTTATCTTACTTGTTCATTTACCAATACATCGCAATTGTTTTCAATTGGTTGTATTACAACTTTTACCCAATTTGACTTCAGAGGCCATATCAAGATCCGACTGAGAGAAGTCAAACTTTTTACTCCCTATAAAATGCCGTGCAAAAAAAAGGAAGAATTCGTGCAAAAAAAAAAGTCAAGAGGCCATTTTCTTGGATAAAAATAGGTAATCTAAACGGAAGTCTCGTTGTAGAGATAGCTTATAATTCGAACGAACCAAAAATTTGAAAAATGGCACTTACCCCTACCTTGGTCTCCATCCATGTGTGAAACTGAAAAAGGCTTCAAGCCTTGCAATCGAATAAAACCATGCCCAAGTCTAAAGAATCGATAAACCAGGACGTGGGTTCGCGTGTGGAAAGTTCATCGGAGACGGAGAAGCCTCTGTGTCAAGTCTGAAGAATCGCCAGCTCGAGAGATAAGAGATCTAATCTAGGGCTCGGACCTTGAATTAGGAATTATGGAGTTGGGGGGGATTTCAATTTTTTCGATGAAGATCGTGTTTTTAAATGGAAGTCGCGTCCACCATGGCTGAGTTTAACGCCATCCATTGCCATGTAGGCCGCCGTCCAGCAACGTCGGACTGGTTCAAACGGCTGGGATGCCGGGTGATGGATGGAGCGGCTCATATGCAAGTTCAGTGACCGTTGGCAATGTAAGTAAGTGTTATGCCCTGATTCCAATCGATTTAGGTTATAAACACTTTTAATATGTTTAATGTATTTAATTTTAGCAAGATCTATTATTTATTTAAATTAATTTTGAAATAAATAATATTAAATAATAGAGTCTGAAGATCCAAGTTTAAGTGATTTACTAATCACAAGGAGTTGTGATTGTGAGATACAAATTACGTATGATTGGATCTTGAATAAACCGTGGTCATAAATAATAACGAGATACAGATATCGTTAATACAGATAGACCATCACGTGTGACATTTCTTACTTGTGAAATAAGTAGCTGATCTTACGAGCTAAAGTGTGGTGACACTTAAATGAACACGTGTATATTTTGTTATAGAACAAAACATTGGAGACCCGCTAAGAGATTTCACATGGATAACTATCTGAGTGTCAGTGGTTAATCTCTAACGTTCGGTAGTGAAATTGGTCCTATGACTTGAGGCCATCATAGTGCCTTGTATGAAGACAGTCATACTTTGGCGGTGTTGAATGTTGCTCTGCTAAGGGCCGCTAATACGACATCGTTCGGGTATGTCAAGAACCATATGAAAGTTGTGAATGACCAATAGAGGATTCGTCACTCTTAGATAGTAAGAGATTGTGATCTACATTTCGTTCAATTTAGTCAATAACGAAATCCTTGGTCAAAGTATACATATAAGTCAAAAATGAATTTTCGACTCACATTGACTTAATAGTAGAATGAAAGATATGATCGATAAATCTAGATTGACATACTTCCATATCTCGTAGTTGATCGGATCATATTGACGAATGGATTATAATTTCATGGTAAACGAACAGTTTTGATTTTGTCATACCACGTGACATTTCCCGTCACATGTGTTGCTTTGATACATTGCTAGATGTCAATCTGCGACGACGAGTGTGAATTTGCGATAAATTAAAAGGGTGTTTAATTTATCAGTTTTGATTAGATCAAAATAATATTTCACGTCGTTAGATATCGTGGTCGGGAACCTGATAGGTCGCACACAAAAGAGAATTGAAAGATGACAAATTGCCAATTGATTAATTTAACAATCGTTGGATAAATTAATTAATTGAATTTGTTATTTATATTCTCGAATTAATTGATTGGATTAATTAATTCACGGATCGGGTTTAATTAAATGGATTAATTAAATATTGGACTGGATCGGGTCGAGCCCGTTTGTGTTTATATAAATACATGGCTAAGGTTTGAGGTCCATGAGGTTTTCATTATTCTTGCTGGCACAAGAGGAAAAATTCTAGCAGTTGCAGTCTATTCTCTGTGTGAATTTCATTGAAAGCTGAACAATTGGACAATTGTGGAAGGCAGATTCAAGTTGCTGCAAAAGAATAACGCAAAGGAGTTTGCAAAATCAAGAAAAATATATACTTCTCATCACAGTTCTTATCTAAATATAAAGCTGAATTCTAAATGGGAATTGAAACTATTTAATTTCGCTGTGCGTGTTTAAGTAAATACCCTACAGGCTGCGAACGAAAGTTCAGTGACCACAACGTCACATAGAGGTAAGTTGGGTGATTATTCAAACTTTTTTACTCAAGTTTCTTCTTCTCCATCTCAAATTACCTTACGAAGTGTTCCATTTTTCAGAACACGCACGCACTCTCTCTCTCTCTCTCTAGAACTGCAAGTGCTTAATTTTACCTTGAGATCTTCACCATAAGAAGCTGCCTCTCAGTTTCATACTTTCAGGATTTTACTCTTTTAAATCCCCTTTCTGTTTTTCCGTTCTCTTTACATTTTCACTCTTTCTTCTAGTAAAGTGGGCTCCTTAGCTTTATCTCTCAATCTTAAACGCTCACTCCGAAACAAACAGCTTTGCCATTATATTCATTTTGCTTCATTTCAAATAGAAACTTGAAAAACTTACTTTTTTCCACGGTTTTTCTGCTCAATTTCATGGATTCAAAGATGATTAAAGCAAAGGCAATAAAGCCATTTTTGTTGAAAGATTACTTGTTGGATGACTTTAGTTCATGTTCATCAAATGGATTCAAATCATTTCCAAGAAGACAATGTTGCGCCACTGTTCGATTCCTCATCGACATTGACAAGAAAAACATACCGCCACCGCCCCTTTTGAAGACCCCCTCAAAATCTGCTTCGTCGACAGCTCTGAATTCAGCTTTTCAATGCGTCATCAACGCCTTGAAACACCTCCCATTCGCTCCCTCCGCCGCCGCCAAGTCGCTGACGGCGGTGCCGCAGAAAAAAGCACAAGAAATCAATTCTACCCAGGAGTCTTTCTAAAAAGATCCTCAAGAGAAGTTTTTGGAAGAGAACAAGTAGTCATAAAGAAATCGAAGGGTGGAAATCACTTGATCATTTGGTGAAGAAGAAGCCTGGGCAGTTCAGTTCAACAAGTGAAAGCAATGACAGTAAAAGTAAAACAACCAGCTTGTCGGATAGTGATATTACTGCCTCAGACGATTCTTTACAGTTTTCGATTGAGGTGAGAAACAACGACGTAGCTGAGAAGAAGGTGGTTGCTGTAACAAACGACGCCGTATCTATGGACTCAACCACCAGTAGTGAGGCCAGTGCCAGTACCAACTCTAATCAAACAAAGGTGAGTTGTCGGTGAACTAAATTTACTTGTTTCTATTTTAAACTTCAATTTATTATTAAGGGGACATTTATTTCACATTTTTGTCAAAATAAAAATGAAAAATATAATCGTTATGAATCCCATACAAAAAATATAAATTCAAATTTGATGATTTGATGTGATGGATAACTATCAATTTTTTCATTTTAATTAGGAAAAAAATGAGAAACAAGGGGCTAAATATTAAATACCCATCACACATTTTTTTTGCACAATAATAAAGAATGGTAGGTAATTATGTTGTCCGTATTGCAGCTCGAACCTCATAAGTATTTGCGGATCCCATTTCATGTAATATTACTTTCTTTATTGAGGTTTATATTCTAGAGTTCGTGACCATTTTGGCAGGGGTTTTCAAAATTTAAAAAGTTGTTTTTGTACTTATTTGAATAATTTTGTACAATATTTTATTTAAATTAAAAGAGTTTTTAAAAGAAATTTACCATTATCTCAATAAACTCTTCTGCAAAAAGTAGAATTAGAACCCTTAGAATATCTCGATCAAATACGCTAATTTTGAGAAATGTGTTACTGAGTTCTTACATTTTGAATTGATTATAGAGGTTAAAAAACGTTTACTTATGTCAGAAAATAATTAAAAAGGTGAATTCAAAGATTTGAATTAATAAAGAAAGCAAGAGAATTTTGAAATTAAATAATTAACTAAATAATTTGTGGCGTTTCGAAACGAACTAGGCCATTACACGTGCGGGGTTATATTTCGGAAAAAATACTTTACACTGGATTATTTTGATAATAAAGTACTATTGCATGCTTTGATGGCATAGATCACGCTATATGTGGATTATTAGTAGGGATAATAAAATATTTATCAAATTCGATACTCACAGGGCCCTGCTCCGGGCGGGTATGGGCAAAGGGCCCCGTCCAGTTTATTAATTTTTTTTTTATTTTTTTGAAGAATTCTATATTTTAAATATAAAAATCTACGAAATTTTATTAGGTCTAATAGAAGATAGCAACTAAGATTATTTAAAAAATATGACAAACAATAAAAATCTTTGTTTAAAAATTAATAAATATATTATTGTCTCACTTTAATGAATAGGGGCAATAAAATGAATTATCAAAAACTTAAAAAAAAAAAAAAAATAAATGGGGAGTAAATAGGGCCAAACCCGACCCACCCCATCTTAAATGAGTAACAGGGTGGGTACGTGTCGGGAAATTACCTAGTGGGACGGGTCGAGGCAAAGCGGAGAGGTCGGCCTGATCCCGACCTGCCCCATTACCATCCCTAATTACTAGCTGGATCCACGACGTGGAAACTCGTGTCTGCATTTTGTTCCATGGTACACGAGATACTAGATTGTGTCTCCTATCTGTTTATTAACAAAATTGCCCTTTCTCCTTCACCCCCACCACATTCACATTGTATTTCCTATTTTTCTTAGTAAAATTCAAAATTGGAGTATAGATTTCCTTGATTGGCTAACAATTACGCAATTTTCAAATTTTTCCACGTAATGTGACTGTTGACACATAAAAATTCAGTCCAAATCGAACGGCCCAAGGAATGAAGCCCAATTGGAGGATCCCCAAGTCAGATAGTCCAAAGAACGAAACCCAATCAAACAATTCAAGATGAAGGCCCAAGAACGCGATAACGCCATCGCCCAAGTTTGCAAGTCGCCCAGAATCTGAGCGAATGGAGTGCCATGCAGTCGCCCAGAGCTGTTACTCTATTCTCGCCCAAACCTTCAAGTCGCCCAAGGTCTTAACAAACATAAAGCGTTGTGGTTATCAAGAAGTGCAGTTATCAAAACAGTTATTAAAGCAGTCATATCACGTTCCACGATTCAAGGAATTCAATCGAAAACGGTTGAACGACGAAGAGTAATGACAGCAGTTAAAAGAAGGCAGTTTTCATGACAAGTTGTCCATTACGAGGAAGGTGGGTAGTTGTAGAACGATCAAGAAGTTTTTAGGCGGTTAATCACAAGGAGATCGTCCATGAAGTATAAAAGGGAGAAAAGACATAGAGTAAAGGACCGAATAAAAAACTCTCGAACAGAGAACATGTAATTTTAATTTCCTTAGTTTAGACTTAAACACTTTTTTCAGTAACTCGTGTGCTTGCGCCCCTTGGAGGCATTCTATTTTTAATTTCCAATTGTAAAGTCATCGCCAATAAAAGAACACCCCTTTTTGGGATTTTGTCTCAAGAGGTTTGTCCCTTACACAATCGTCTGATCCCTTTTAATTGTTAGCGACTAACCCGCGCGAAACAATTTGGTACGCCCAGTGGGACAGTGGTGTTTGGTGTTGAAAGTACAAAAGGTGAAACAATATGCCTCAGAGATCCGATAAAGAAGCAGCAAGTCAGGGAGGAGTCCAGTCTGTGATCGAGCGATATGAGGAGCAGCATGCCGCTCCACGAACAGATGGACAGAATAGAGCAGTAACAGTCGTTACGAACCAATGACGGAGTTGAGTTCTCGAACCATGCGTGCATTACTTGGAGAACTCACACAAGACGTTGTTGAACAGGTAAATTTTTGAAGTATTCATAATATGGAAAGATTTACCCAAAATGGAAATGCACACTATGACAATATGGCCAAACAACTAAATACTTTAAACGAAACAATGAATAAGTTAGTAGGTCAAATATGTCAACTGGTTATCCCTCTTGCAAATCACTTTCAAATTAGGACAATTGTGAGATATAATCTCTCAGTCCTAAATCCGAATCAAGGGGTAAAATCACTTTTTGGTCCCTCTACTTCAAACCAAGGGGGTACTGCAGGGCCAAATCAGAACAATGGTAGTGGTACGCCTAACTTGGGGGGTAATCCAAACATAAGAGATAATGTCTTAAACAATGGACAGAATACCCCATGTTTTAATGAGGGAATAGATGTTCAGGCTAATGGTAATAGCCCTAATCATGGTAACTTTGTTGCCAATCAAGGACCAAACATCAGGCCTCATGCAAATCAACCGGTTAACCAGCCTGTAGGGATTCCATATGACCCCAACGTCATGTTGAGGAATCAGATTATGGAAATTGTACAGGATCATATGGCTTTTGGGGTACGTCCCGTCATTAGGCCAACGTACACGAAGCCATATCCTGATTGGGTAGACCAAGCATATCCATGGCCTAGAGGGTACAAAGTGCTAGAATTCTCACTGTTTACCGGTTTAGGAGAGGTGTCTACTCTAGAACACATAGAGCGATTCACATTGCAAAGTGGTGATATAACCGATTACCATAAAATGAGGCTTTTCCCTAGTTCGTTAACAGGAGTAGCTTTCTCCTGGTTCATCAACTTGTCAGCGAACTCTGTTCAAACATGACAACAATTGGAATAGTTATTTCACGCTCAATTTTATAAAATTGAGTCTGAAGTCACTTTGGCTGATTTGGCGAATCTACGTCAAACGCCAAACGAATGGGCAGAAGGTTTTCTCCAAAGGTTCAAGACAGTAAGAAGCAAGTGTTTTGTACCTCTGCCCGCAAAAGAATTTGTCAAAATCGCTCAGGGCTGCTTGAGCTTTGATTTAAAAAAGAAATTCCAGGACAAGGAATTTCCTGACCTTTTCCAGTTGAGTGCAATTGTGATGAGGTATGAACGACTGATAAGAAAGGAAGAACAGATGAAAAATTCTAGTAAAGGAACTTATTACAAAGACCCAAATTTTGATGTTCATACCATCAGTGACGAGTCATATGACCAGGCCGAAGTGTGTTTGGCCGAATTGGTCAAAGGAGATACATATACTTGTCCCATAATGACCAAGCTTAGACCATCGGGCAAAGATAAGCCCATAAAAGATGGAAACATAAAGGTTAGAACGTTCTCGTTCGACGTAACCAAAGCTGACCTTATATTTGATAAATTATATAGGGATAAGTAGATAAAGTTGAGCGATAAGCACAAATTGCCAAACCCTGAACAAATTAAGGGTAAAAAATATTGTAAGTGGCATAATGCATGGTCATATTTGACTAACGATTGCTTGGTTTTTCGCCATGTATTGCAGGATGTCATTCAATCAGGACGAATTACATTCGACGATAAGAAGAAGATGACAGTGGATGAAAATCCTTTTCCACAGCCACTTGGAGTGAACATGGTGACGTCTGGATTCAAAAACAAGTTGCCAAAATTCAAGTTGGTCGTAGATGATGGAGAAGAGGATCCTAGAC